ATTCTGCGCTGTCTTGATTCTTGATGATCTTGTAGAATGCTGTTAGTGTATTTTTCTCTATGCATACAGTAATTGGAATAGCCCCCAGGAGTGAGTACACAGCAATGATAGGTGTTTTTACTGATAGTCCTTGGATTTGTTTCAGTAACTTTCTCTCATAAAGGAGCAGTTCTTGTTCTTCGCTTCTAGATAGAATGACAGCCTCTAATCCATATGTCATTCTTGGTCTGCAGAATGTGGTGTAGATCTTATGAGAGACTTTAGGATTGATACCATTTTTTCCATGCAGTCCTGCCCCAAGTAGTGCATACATCGTTCTTCTACCTAGTTGGATTCTACTCTGGATGTCGTTTTTGCCACTTGATGATCTTAACAGTCCAACATGTTTTGTCGTTTCCACTTTTTCTATCTCCTTATCACCCAGAGTCCAGGTCTGGGTTGGTCTGTTCTTGTGCGCATTGATTATTATAACGTCGCTTTTAGAAGAGTTGATGGTGACTTTATCTCTCTTGGTTTCATTGTGAACGATATGTAGCGCTTGTTGTAGATCCGATGGGTTATGCGATATGAGGGCTATGTCGTCAGCAACTGTAGGACATCCAATAAAGGTGGTACCAATGGAGGCTCCAATTTTGTTCGTTCTGAGAATATCAAGAAGCTGGTTGTTGTAAGCTTTGTAAAGAGTCGGTGAGAGTTTGGCTCCTTGTCGGATTCCCTGCTGGGCAACAAAACCAGTGCTCAATCCTCCCTTCCACTTTACTCTTGTAGTGGCTTCGGTCTGTAACATTTTCATTAGAACCCATGAGTCGTCTGAAATGCCATAGTGGTAGAGCTTTTGGAATAGGATCTCATGGTCCAGTTTATCAAATGCCTTCTCAGCGTCTAAGGTGGTAATCGCAACACTTTGACCTTTATCTTTTGCCTCATTAATGCCTTCTGTTATGAGTATGGCTGCATTTACAGGTGAAGTTTTCTCAGTAAATCCTCGTTGCATTGGGTTCTGTATTTTACTTATAGTTGGCTCTATATGATTTTTTAGGATGGATTCAAGTATTTTTCCAAGTACAGGGGTAACAGCTATCCCTCTATAGTTACCTGGGATTTTAGAGTCTTTATCCTTCTTTAGCACAGGAGTTACTAACCCAGTCTTGAGTATTTCTGGGATGTTACATTCTCTCTTAATGGTGTTTAAGATGGCAGTTGTGTATTTTACTATAGTAGCTCCACCCTTTTTGAAGTGTTCAGCTGTAAGCCCTAGATGGTCAGGTGCTTTGTTGTTAGCTAGTTTACTGATGGCATTCTCCACTTGCATTTGTGTGATATCTGGGATCTCACTTCTCTTTTCAGGGTCTTCCAGGATTTCTTTGATGAGTAAACATTCTTCTTCATTTACCTGGTTGGCATCAGGAGTTCCAAGTCTATTGAAGTGTGTGTTCCAGCCTTTTAAAATTAGTTCATCTCCTTGTAGTTCGTGTCCGTCTAGGTATAAGGTGTCAGTTTCTGCGCAGTGTGAGGTACGTTGTTCTCGTACCAACTTGAAAAACAGTTTTTGGTTGAGATCTGCAGATTCCATTATATCGCTGTACTTCTTTTCACGTATGCGAGCTTGGGCTTGTCGCTGTTTCTGTCTCAGCGTTTTCTTTGTTGCCTTCATGTTGTTGAATAGCATACAGTTTTGTCCTTTTGGAGATCCTTCCATAACCCAGACATAGTGTGCTTTCTTGGCTATCCTAGAAGCTTGTCCAATATCCTCATTCCAGGGTGTTCGTCCTTTCTTCTTCTGAGTTCTCTTACCGTTGGCTTTATGCTTTGGAATTGCAGTTTCAGCCGCAGTGTGTAGAGTATTGCTGAGGTGTACAATATCCAATATTAGCTGAATATTGGTGTTGTCATTCTGGCATTTGGGTTCTTCGTTTAGATATTCATCAATAGAGGATTGGTATCTGGAATCATCACATTTAATCCACTTTGGTTTATAGTATTCAGTTGTTGTAGGTGGTTCGGTCTTTGCCTTCTTGTGTGGTTTTATGTAGATTTTCCCAGTGGTAAGGACATGATCGGATGTGTTGGTACTTTGCTGACCTCGTATACTGACCTGCTGTATACCATCATCACTTTGGTCTTGTTGTTTGAGAAGGTAGTCAATCTGTGACGTGCTTTTGTTATCATGGTGAAAGAAAGTTGGTTCTTCAGGGTAACTTTGTGATGATGCTGAGTTCGTTGCAGAATTCCCTCAGTAGATTGTCCATATTATTAGGGTTTGGTCTATGTAAAGAAGCGTTTAGGTCACCGCCCAATAGGATAGTGTGGGTTCTCCTGTATTTTGTTATGGTTTCTCTAACTACATCTAAGGAGTCACTGTATTCCGCACTTGTATGTTTTCCACCTCTACATGGCATATAGACATTGATTATGCAGAGTGGTCTTGGCTTTGCATACAACTCGATAATAGCAATGTGGTTGTTACTTTCAGGGAGTGGTTTAATGTGGCTCGAGATGTTCTTTGGCCAGATAGTAGCTTATATCCTTTTTTGGCTAATGGGTGTAAAGCATAAAAGTCATGGTCATGCAGTATGTTTCCTATTTCCCTCTCTTCAAACTTGAACATCCAGTGCTCTTGGATTAGCAAAATGTCTATTTCTTTCAGTATCTCGTTGATGTAGACTGAGTTGCCTTTGATGTTCTGTACATTTAAGGTTCCAATTTTCATTTCCCTCTTTTCACAGTGTTGGTTTGGATCTAATTTTTGGTATGGTGTTCTTGTACTACTTTTGTCCTTACAGTTGGGTGCCACTTTTGTTGGTATAGTTGGTATAGTGGGCGACCGGTCAGATGGTTGGCTAGTATGTGCACTAGGGTGGAGGCTCGGCCATGCCCTAAAAAAGACTGACTGTTTCCTTGGGTTTTTGGGTTATCTATTGTTTTATCTGGTCTGGTAGGGCTAGTTGGTCTGTTACATTGCGATGTGGTGTTACATTTGAGTTAGTGTAAGTCTGATTTAGGGTGGTGATAGGCCTTGTTTCTTGACCTTTGCTGCCGCTACTTTCCATCCTGGCTTTAGGTGTTATATTAGGCTCGTAATCAGGGTTTGAGTTATAACCATTCCTTTGGCTTCCCATCTTACTGTTATCTTGGTCACAGTTTCCTGGTTCTCATTGTGGTTTGATGGAGTTTTCAGTTCCATACTTTTGTCAGTGTTGCAAAAGTGGAGTGTGCCTGTATGTAGTTGTAATTTCACTATCTGTCTTGGAGAAAAAACCTCAACTTCATTTAATTCTAAGCTAGGTTCCATTTTTGGCTTCTGTTGTGTTTCTAGTCTAGTGTTAATCTCATTTGATGGCCCCTGTGAGATTGCTGTGTTGTGTCCCCTTGTCTTAGTGTGACTGGGTATTCAGTTTTGTTGTAGGTCCTCCACATTAGCCACATATAAGGATTTATCATTGTCTTTACTCTCATTCATACATGTATATTGATCCTTCAAATTGTGAGTTTGGTTGGTTACTGCAGTGCATTTTCCTTATTTATGGACTCTACAATTGTGCTTTTCTTGTCAGCTGGTGCCATTAAGTCAAGCTTTAAATTAATGTGGTCTATTTTAAGGAGAACTGTTTCCATCATGACTTGGTTTCTCTGAATCATTAGCTTCATTCCTTCCATGTCATTAAGTTGGGGTGGAGTGATTTATTATTGTAAAATTTATGTTATTGAAATAATACGATTTCCATGTGAAAATTTGTGAGATCAAATTTATATGATCTGAAGGAAATAATAATTATGAGAAACTGAAATGAAACATTTTTTTTTAATTAATTACACCTCCTTTAAAAAGACCTATTACATTTTCTATAAGAATTTTCACAAATGAAAAATTTCCTATCAAATCAATAACATTTTAATAACGCAGTACAGTTAAGGCAACACATGAAAAAAATATAGTAATGAAGTCATAATGAGGTCTGACGTCATGACAGTTGCTCCGCCCTGATTGATCCATATAAGGAAATGGTGCTCAAAATAACTATTTACCGATATTGGCAACAATTTGTAATAAACAACAATATCCTTATGTTTAAATAGAAAATAATTAGTGATTTTCTCGTATATAAAATAGCATGTCTTTAAAATAATTCTCTTTTTAATGTGTCGTTTGTCTGCATTCGGCTTCAGCCAAGCTCTTGCACTCGGTGACACGGAATGTTGTTTACATCTAAAAACGTGGCGACATCAGCTGAGATTTGCAGTGGATTTAAATGCAATAACCACACAATCTCTAAAGAAAATGGGGATAAATTAAGAGACAAGGCATTGCTTCTCCATTTTACAAGAATATGAGGACATTATTTCGGAAAATAGCAGAAAACTGAGACGATTTGCATCAGCTCTAGCTCCGTAGATCAATCACTGCTGACTGTAATTCCAGGCCAGGTATGTATACGCATATGCAGGTACATGTGTAGATCTACAATATGTAGACATGCTTTTGTTAACAAAAAAAAAAACCGAGTGTGTTCATGTTCATTTAAATGTATTAGTACAGTCAGTGAAAAACTGTAATTATGCGAGCCTTGTGTGTAACAACCCCCGCCCCCCCCCCCCTACTAAGTTGCACACTTTTTAGAATTATTAAAAATTAGTGGCACTAAATAAGTACTGAGTTCCTGTCAATTAGTTCATTTTCTTTGAGACAATATGTGTAATAATAGAGATCATCAGTAACACAAATTTAAACTAAATTGAATGAGATGTTTTCATTGTTTCAGTCAATCACTCAATGATTCACTAGTGACTAGGCCTAAACAAACAATGATGTATTTTGACATACAAATATGCTACACATTTTTCAAAAAATATCCGTAACATTGTGTTGAAAACATAAAAGCCCCACTTCAGATCAGCTGTAATTTTCTAGAATTTCTAAATTAATGAAGAAAAAAAATCTTTTTTTGTTTAGATTACATGTACATTAAAAATATTTATATAATATATACTTTTATCATTGTAGCTGTCCAGAGTTTCAGGCTTAAAGAGTGAATAAATAACATTTGCATCATTTCTCCACAGGGTATGTATACTTCTAAAGCATTTCACATTTTCAAAGCTTGCAAGTGCATATTGTTTTTTTTTCATTAATTTTGGTAAAAGGGAGACTTAGAATTTTTTTAATAGAAAATATTCTATCAATAACTTTTGTAGATGTCAGAGGTTTCACTTTCACAGAGAAGTTTTGTAACACATTTTTTTTTCATTTATATCAATAACATAAATTCACTACAATATACAATGCAGCATAATTTGTTTTGTCAAATGTAATGCCATTTTATTCTACAATGTATATTTAGTAATCTCATAGCATATATATTGTGTTGCAGGAATAGCTATTCTCAGATGTTGGACAAATGGATTCATTCAGGCAGCAAGTTAATCCATCATTTAAGGAAAATGGTATGCTCAATATAAGCTATAAACCATACAAAGTTTTGATAATAAAACTATCAGAAGAATTGAAAACATGTGTAGCGGACAGTATATAGGGAACTTATACTGCCTCGCCAGTGAGCTAGCTTTTCTGGTGATGCGGTAGAGTCTCCCTCTTTTTCAGGCAAGTTAAGCAACGGCGAGCCTGTTCAACCCCTGGAAGGGTGACCGCTTCACGTTACACATGTATGTAAATTCTATGTTAAATGTTTCCATGCATTTTTTTTATTTCATTTTTTAAACACAAATTACTTCCAATAATGGTATTTCCTGATTTTCTCCTATTTTCAGATTTCATTTTATCCACAAGAACATGAGGTGATGGAAATAATTTGCACCTGCCCAGCATTCCTACAGTTTGTCACTGGATTTGAAAAGAAATGTTTAAATAAATTTTCTAGATAAATAATAATTTGACTTTTTCATAAATTTACTGTACAGGTTTTGAAAAGGCCATTAAGATATGGAAATCTTAACTTTCTTACTATTTTGTGTGGAGGGTACTAATGATCATCAAGATCTTATTTCCAGCATGTGCATTGCGTTCATTTATCTTTCAATAATATCACCAAAAACAGGAGACTAGAGATCCCCCTAATTGTTTCAAAATAGGATAGGGGACCACCATTTGTTCTGAGGGAAGGGGGGGGGCAGTCGAGTTTTTCCAAGTCAGATTTTTTTTTTTCATTTTCATGTCAATGAAGGACAGATTAATATTTATTTCCGATCAATAAGATGAAGGACAGATTATTTATTTTCCTCTTCATTGAAAATCCTACATGCAAAAAAAAAAAAAAAATGTAAAAAACTCTGATTCGTGGGAGGGGGAGATCACTGATCTGCAAGTATTTATTTTTTAAACTGCCAGTCCCTCACCCTCAAAATAAAATAGCTGTCCCCTTAACAAATACAGGAGTATACCCCAATTCTTTCTAATTAGTACCTTAAACTTATAACTTAGTTTATATCCCTTAATTAACAGTAAGCGGCCTGATTGAAAGCGATCGTAGAACATGACCTCGTATGCAGAAAGAAAAAAAATATTAACACAAGTGTGTGTACCATAGGCGTCGGAAGCAAAATGAAAGGGGGCTAAAAGGGGGGGGGGGCAACAGAAAAAGGTAAATACCAATGCCTACATTATGTATATAATTTGCAAATAAGTAGGGAGGCTAAGCCCCCCCCCCCCGGTTCCAACGCCTATGCGAACAGTATTGGGAGAGGGGAATAGATATCTAATTAATTATTAATGAAGGCTATATTTTAATTAACCATTTGTGTTCTACATAAATATATCGGCAATATTCATACCTATTTGTGTGAAATACTACGTGTATATACACATCGTTGAGGAAATGCGGGATGTTTGAAAGACATTAGTCTCGTTTTCCCCAGACTCTCGCTCTCGAGACTTAGCCCGAGCGAGAGTCTGGTCTGATTCCTATTTAATTTTTGTAATTTCAAATCGAGGCTTACCGAGAAATCGGTATGGATTTTCATTGGCTGATACATTCTCTTCGATGCTAAGATATGTATTCTTAAAAAAGTCAGAGGCTGCGCCTTTACTTTTATCTGGTTTTATAATAAAATACCTTTGTCTGCATTACAAGGAACAATTAAAAACGCACATATCTTTGTTTAAAAAGTAAATTCTCACATGTATTTTCATGGGAGTCGCCATCTTGTTAGCGGTTTAGCGACCTCTACTGGTTACAAAAATTAAATAGGAATCAGACCAGACTCTCGCTCGGGCTAAGTCTCGAGAGCGAGAGTCTGGGGAAAACGAGACTAGAAAGACATTAAATGTATACAACGTATGGAGAATGAATACACAGAAAAGAAAGAAATGTCAAGAATTTTTTATCCATACCGTTTGATTTAGTAAAAAAAAGATTCAAGTCCTGCCCGCATGTATATTTATTTTAAATTTACGAGGTAAGCAAACTATATCAAGTACTCCAGAGTTATCTTCCATGCTGGGTCAGTGATGCGTTTGAAAACTATAATTAGATTGACTCTTCCAAGATTTCATTTTTTAATCAAAAAGTGCAAGGGCAAGGCGACAATCTAAAAAGTAGGTTTTTATTTTAAATTATTTATTTTATTGTATAGTTTTCAAAAAGTGATGCTCATTACTTTGTAATTCTTTCGTTAATTTATAATTCATGATGAAATTAGGAAAATATCCAATTTTTCATACATTACTGTCTGTTTTAGCTGAATAGCTTAATTATATCGGAAAACTAACTGAATGAGCATCACTTTTGAGAAAGTATAGATACATAGAGACAACATAAAACATTGTGCAGTTAATTTTTTGTTTGTCTTGCCCTTGCACTTTTTGGTTAAATTTGACATTTCATTTTTTGACCTAAAATCGGAGCCCACGTGACTTCAGGGGGTCACATGATGTCAAAAAATACCGATGTGAAAAGCGATGGACATACTCTTCAAGATCACAAATAGCTGTTTTAACTAGAGTGTCTTGCTAAAAAATAAAACTGTTAAACATTATATGTATCGGAATCCGTGAGTTTTTATAGAAAATGTTGCCTTAACTGTACTGCGAAGGATGAAATGTTACATCACATTATACCTTCTCGTATTATAACAAAACACACAATGCAATGAAGCCCCTGTCTTCAAGATTGTGAAACAATATGTCCTGTATTAGTCAGTTGATGAAGAAAAACACCCATGATCTGACGTAGAAGTTTACAATTGCCTAGGTCGTTTAAGTGCACCCTGTCTCTTAATATGGGGTCTCGAATATTGGTAAAACCCCGTTATTTCTAGAATGTTCTTTTCTGTTCCAAGAAATTGATTCTTAAACATTCATTGGCCTGGTTTACTCGTTGGCTATATATTTCTGCGGACACCACTCTTGTACGCTATATTGGGAAATAACTCAATGCGGTCACTGATTTAAGCTGACACTGATGTTTCAGTTGCATTAAGAATGAAACAAACTTTCTCACAAAAAGTTCCACTGGACCAGGTGCATCCAAGTCATTACCGCCTAGCAGCACAATACGATGGTGTGGGTTGATCTCCTGCACAATGGAGGAAAATTTACGATTCTGCCTGTATTGACACCATTTGTAAATTGTGCAGAGTATATCAGCGAAAAAGTAACTATCAGTCCGCCAGTAATTTAATTATTATCAATAAAATTATATAGTAGTTGATCATACATTTGCATGGCGAATAAATCACATTGTATCTCAAGTTACGCAACTGTAGATGATCAGTCTGAGTCAGGCACTTACAAAATGCCCACACATCTGCACAACTTATTTTGTAGCCATACATATACTTTTTTCTAACTTTATACATATCAATTGAAAAACAGCGGAGCTAAATAAATGAAATCACTTTGGCTGAACTCGGCAGAGACCCATTGCATACATATCCAATAGTAGAATTCCAATTTAGTTAAAAAAAAAATTGCTATTAATATTATATTATATGATATCAACAATTTATTGATTTTTCTCAGAATATTTTATGACTATCCTTTACCTACGACGACTTTACAGTTTAAAGGCAACCAATTGAACTATAGCTTAACATTTGTCCCAGATAGGCCAATGGCAAATCGATATTTGTACCAATGACAAAAATAGTGCATACAACCACTGTGACATTACTTTTGAATCAACCCTCGTTGTTGTCATTTCCAGGTAAATCTGTGTAGTGTACATGTCACCCACCAAAAAAAACCAATCCTAATAGTTAAGATCATCTACATACAAATCAATTTGTATATAAATAGAGACGACACTCATTCTGCGACGGAAAGCCACTATGAAATTTAAGGTCAGTTCATTTACATAGATATGTTACATGAAAATTTCAAAATTCTATTTTTTACATATCATGGTTTGATTTATAAAGATAGTTTTGCATTTTACGATTTACAGTAACTTGTATAAAGAATATCTTGATATAGTCGTTCAATTTAATTAAAACTGAGAGGAAGTCAATGGTTAAATATTTTTCCTTTATAAAAAAAATAAATTATTGTGCTTGCTCATGCATCATATCTTGATTGCTTGTTGAATTGCTTTATATCAAAGATAATATTAAGACCGATGTTCATATTTTAAAAATTGATAACCTTAACTAATTACTGATATAGTTAACTATGGTAGATTAAAGTTTTTATTATCCGTAATCAAGGTATTGTTTCTATAGTTATTATGCATATTTATTTATTTAACTTCTACAAATATTTGTTATAGTAATAAGTAAATGATTTATTATAGTGACATGTGTTTAGACAACAGAAGGTTCAATATAAACGTATATACATTATACACGGCCCATAGAACACAATAACGTTCTAGTGGACGTTCGTTTCTAAATCAGCCAATTTCTATTCATAGTGAAGGATACGAACTCTAAACTGAACCATTATTGAGCGTTCTTGTTTTTATCATGTCCATCGTTATGTAAGGTTCCATTTCAAAATTATTTTTAAAAGTCACAAATGTTCTCAATTTAGGTAACGACGATATTTTCAATTTCCTTTCTTCTTCGCAAAGCGTTCACAATATCCATTTTGCTTAATTTATATCACATATTCGGAGGTAATCAAAATGAGTTGGCATATTTAATTTGTAAAGAATTTCTTTCATTTGTGAAAACCTTGTTCCACTATTTTGATTATTCCATAAGAAAACTTTTTGATGAGTCTGTCATCGTCGATTTCCATTACTCTGTTTAACCTTCCAATCACGTTTACATGTATGTCGGTGTTATCCGTCCAACTTCATTGTTTAATGCGATGGCGTATTTGTATTCATGTAGTCCTAAAAAGTATCGAGTAGCACGATTTTTTACAACTTCTAAGGAATAATATGTTTTGTATATAGTAACAAGAAGTATATCTTTTATATGTATGTATATTTTTTAAAAAATTATATCAACTGTTTGAAACGCAATATTAAATGTTAACCTTCAAAACTTCAAAAAATGTTCCAAAGCATAGTTTCAAGGTAAACAAGAACATAAAAGTATAAACTTTGATAATCTATACACGATTCCTATTAAAAAGTTTTACAAAGTTATTGCTCATTGTCACACGGAGGCGTTGTCGTTGATCGCCATGACGGCCCTTACTTTTACAGTGTCACAAGAGTGACTGTATGTCCTATAGCATAAAAGGTGACGATCACAGTGTTGTCGTTGTGTTTCAATGTAAACATGCTGAGATACGACTGCAAATGTATGTTAATTTAGTAATAAATAAATCTGCCGAAAAGATCTACAAGCGTTTTTTTTTTATTTTAATATAAAATTTATTTGATTAGTTTGAGTATGGCTATGCGCCCGTAGTGCTATAATCCAAAAAAAAATTA